GTGTTGTTTAAAGCTAGCAATCTAATCAAGAATTGTCGGATCATTTGTATTGCTGTTTTATTTGCCTCTTGAGCATTCACGGAACCGTCATAAACTTATCTCATTTCTTAATGAGGTGCCGACAGTTTATTAATGTGGAAAGCACTCCGCTTTTAAGACGCTATTATGATTTTTCCATACAGTACAGTGGAGATGAGTAGATTTGTTAGACAATGATAACTATCTTTCTGTAGTCCAATGACTGTAATGAAGTAATGTTTAATAAGTGCTACGACGATATAAGCCAGCTTATTACTAAGTGGTCATTGGGAAAGCAATTCAAAGTATGTTTGGGTGGCCTTAACGTTTCTCAAACGATCAAGAGGTTCAAGAGACTGGATGGCCATTGCAAATTCTGTAGTGTCTTTGTCTTCCGCATCTCCAACTTTCTCAAGCTTATCGGTAGGCATGGATAGTTAGTTTCATGCCATAAGTAAACACAACAGAGGTATTTAGAGATCCAAGATAATCGAGGAGCAAGAAACGTCTGAGCAGATTCCCCTCGAGGTCTGAGCAAGAACGCAGAATGAAGAAGTTTTATTTATGAACGAAGGTGAGGGTTGACTACATTCATGATTCAAAGTTGACCGTCATTTGGTAGATTGAATTAACCAACATGCAAACTTTACATAGTAAACCGCTACTTACAAGTTGATAGTACAAGACAATGTGGAAATAACGCGGCCTAACTGCTAACGGCAATCTGACAATTTTATACGCCGGGAACACGAAGGGTGAAAGTGCACTGCAGTATTCCTTATGGGATCTTGAATGAAACACGAACGTAAAGCTGTGAGTCTGAGAGAACCACATAAAGTCCCAGTGTCTAAAACACTTTAAATCAACTTGGATTAAATATTATATCCTGCTAAAAGGCCCGATATCTGACCTTCGTGATTTCTGCTTACAGCACCAGACTCTATCCACTACTGGAACTACTACACGCTGACGATGGGCTAACCAGTCCCAACCCGATCAGAGGAAGAATCAGCGTTATAAAAGAAAGAAAGATCAACAAAACGAAACAATTTAGGGTTGGAAGATTCATAGAGTAAGATCGGCGGTCCACAACGAAAATAAGATCTTAGTAAATCTGTCTGTAATTCTACTATCACCTTAGTCCTACTTGTCTAAATGCCGATATCAAACATCAAGTAGCGCAATAAAGAAAGCTGATCACAACTGCAAAAACTGGCGAAAGACTTCTCGCGGTGTGGTTTGTTAGGTGTTGCCAGTGGCTCAACCTGCCGGACTGAACAATAAAACTTTCCAAAGAATGAGCTAATCTATTCTATCGAGTGTGGTTCCTAATGGGACAAAAGTGAATGGTTGTTGAGTTTTTTTGTTTATAATCATTTGATTGTCCGCAAAATTTTGTTCTCATTGTCTTCGCAAACATTTGTTTAACTGTTATTCCAAATATCTCCAAACGACCAGCCGGATCAGTTATATAGTTTAATCAGTTCACATTTTCCTATCTGGGTTCATAATAGCAAACCTTTGCATTGTGCGAAAACTGGTAAAATCTATGGGTCAAGTCATGCTCTCGTTCACAGACGTCTCAGAGTTAAACGCCCATCAAAGCTCAAACGATTTCATGTCAAACGCCCAATACGGAATAAAACTTGGAACACAGATATCCATTTTTTGTAAAGCATGAGTATGCGAACAATAATCTGGTGAGTAAATTCCGGAGAGATAGGCAGCAACCACATTATACTGCACTAATTATGAAGGGGTTATACATTGCGTTGTCAGTATGGGAAGATTCCTCGACTAGTGGTTATTTCCTCGGTTTACCTCAAGAGCGCTGTAACAGTTGATTTTAAAAAAATGAAGTAAATTTTGCAGAAACGAGTTTTTTATTCTTACAAAAAGCTTAATAAAAAAAACTATGCCGATAACTAGGAAATAGAATCAAGAGGCAAACAAATGTAAGTAAATGCCTCTTTTAAAAAATTCGATGTCAGTGTAGGCATGATTCGATCATTCGTTATGCGGCTCCTAATAGTATAAACGACGATAAAAGGTACATTTGATTACGACTATTATGGTTCTTGTATTGAGCAAAATGACTAAAAGGGTTTTAATGATCTCGCATTTTTAATAAGTTGCTGTGTCATAGGTCGTGGTGAGCGAGAATTAGATTACAAACGTCCGAAATCTGGTCGCACAAATGTTCATGAACCATCGGTGCCAATACTTTATCGAGGGACATTTTTAAACACGAGCATTTTCCGCTGAAACTAACGCAAGAGTCAAAAGAAATTGTTAAGATTACTCAAGTATGGCTCCAATTATAAAAACTACGAGGACAAAGCTGTTACCAGATGGATCCGTGAGGAGAGCTTTTGCGTCTGGAAAAATGTTGTCCACCTTGTCCAACGCTGCACACATGACGGGAATTTTGCCTCTAGGAAAACCCTTCTCAGACGCCTAGAAAGAGTAAAGGAGGGCTTTGTAAGCAGGGAGGTAGCCGTACCATGCGATGAATGTTTGCGATGCTGTACTGACTGACTATAGACCAGGCCTCTAGCCCACAGTCTGCACGGACTCTACTGAAGAGTGCTTCGTTCTCTGGTGCCTCAGGAGCGTCATCTGTCTCATTTAGGATGGAGAAGGAAGTATCTTGGTGTACCCCATTAGCTGGCTTCGGGTCCTGAAAGTTAAAACATCACTAGAGGGAACGCTTACCAAACTCGTTCTTTTGCGCGTGGGCTTCAGAACCTTAGAAAGAAGAAGATGGGGTCATTTGTGATTCTGTTATGAAAATGAAAGAAAATAAGTCAGAAAACGGCGAAAAAAACTGAACAATTAGCAAGGTCAAAAGATCCGATCAACTGATGAATTCGAAAAAAAGTCGATAAGACATTTGTTTGAGATCAGAGACAAATCAAGTCCTACAATGCAGGTGCATCTAAGACGTACACTTAATGATAAATCGACTTATACTGCGAAAGTTAAGCAACCCATTGACCAAAACGTAACGCAGATATTTACATTACTTTAATAACAACCGTAAGTGGTGAAATAATTGTATACAAAACGGAGAAAACAAGAATAGAAATTAGAGTTCATTGACCATCTTCTTTTAATGGGGATCAGAGTTGTCCTCTGATAGCAAAACCGACACGCACTGTGCCCATAGGCAGCCAAAATATAGCGTTAGTCGGCAGGGCCAATAATGCATATATGAAGAGTTCGCCGGCCTACCCGCTATGTAGCCTATTGAAGTTGGACAAAACAGCCACATAATCAGTCCCACCCCCTCAAACGATTCCCGCAGTTCGTAAGGCCACATACTTCCCGTTTACTCCTCGGCTCATATCCCATTTTCACTGGCGAGACGGCTGCGCCGGAAGAAAACTTCGCCAAAGAAAAGTAGATAGAATCTCAGGCTTCCCGAACGAGGCATTTGACATGAGTCGATGCAGTTTTTAGGCGTACTGTGCCTAAGAATACACGTTGAAGTTAGCTATCCGGGTTAACCCTGACATACATTTAAACGGCGTGTTAAAAAGGATATCGAGGAAATATCAAGGAAGATAGAGAATGCGATAGACTGCCACATTCCCGGAAACAAACGGTGCATAACTGCAAACATAATGGACTGGTTGTTAAATTGAAGTGTCAACAATCTTACCCAAAGATGGGTATGTTGACGTCTATAATCATAGGCGTCGAGCTCATGAAGATGAGACCACGCTTACCTGGGGACTCAATGGCTTATGGATGCGCTCAAGAAGCAGCGTGTTAGAGCCGATTAAATACTAAATACCATTAACCGTTATTCCTAATAAGATCTGAATAATCGCCTCTTGTCTAGCACCACTCCGCAGTTCATTCGTCCCGTCATAGAGTAGACCGGATAGTAAAAGAGCGAATCGCAATTAACTCAGAGGATATTCCGTTTTGTACGTGCTTTTATATAATAGAATTCTATAAGACAATCGACAAGGCTTCTGTATAAATAAAATTCGACGGCTTTGAGATGGGGAGAGTAAAAAATATAGGTGAGGATTCCTGTTGCGTGATAGGGACGTATCGCGACGTTTTGTGGTGGCATCCGCAGCGACCTAGTGGACAAAATCCGCTATAAAATCAGACATATGTATCAAAACCTTTCGGGTTAGAATCAATGATGGAAGCCATGTAGATTTCCTACTAGGGGTATAATTTCACCCCTTGTCAGCGATCCGCTGCATATATATGAATAAACTATTGGAAATTTCCCCGTTAGTGAGCGCCGCTACGTGATAATGTATGGATTTATGCGGTATTAATACGTAAATAATATGATTTTAACGGTTTTTAGTAAAAATATAAAGAAAAGACAAATAAACCACAACCGATCGCGCAATACATAACATTATAAATACCTTAGGTAGCATTCCTGCGGGTCCTGGCAAGCTTCTGCGCTTTCTAGAAGCCTTTAAATCCATTTCTATAATCTTATACTCCAAACTATAGCAAAATGCGAGCAGAGGCTAAGAGAAAAAAGGGTTTTCGGATGTGCTGAATATTCACAACCCACACACCCAATTTACATAATTCGCAGAATGCACAATTGCCTACATTCCAAAGCGTTAAAACGCTTCAATAACTATGTCTATTTTTATCCCTGGAAATGTTTAAATCCAAAACTTAAGAAGTATAAACGTTCGATTATACAAGACCATACCTGGCGAATCATTTGAGAATTAGTATTATTTGAAACGGAAGCACTGAAAAGAACAAACTACATGTCCATTCCATTGATGGACTTCGTCTTCTCTTTATTCGGTATAATTCCGTACATATAAAACAGGTAAGAAGGGCGCTTGAAAACCCAACTACCATATTAATTTTGGCCTTCAGTCTTCCTCAAGTCTCCCCTGAAATGTCTCAACGCGTTCAGCAATAACAACCAAAGGAGGTAAATTTCTCCCGTCTTCTTTCAGGCGAGACAAGCAATGCAGTCATGAAGGCATAACGGAAACAGAACGAGGCTCAGGACGCTCTCCTGTCGACTCCTACTGTGAGCGTATTCCGTTCCGATTTGGCGTCCCAAAACAAACGCATTGACGCCTACCTGTGAGAAGGTCGGCTCAATAGTTGAGTATATTGCCAGTCGCACCCATTTGATGCAGCTTCGATATAAGTCATCTGTTCGAAACGCTGTCGAAGGCTTTGCTGAAGGCAATGTAGATCGCATCAACCGAAGAATCCATTTCAAATGAACTCTTTCAGCTTTACGTTGATGTTAGCAGATTAATGAGACATGACCGACCGCTTCTAAATCCATGTTGATGCGCACTTAGCAAGCTTTTCTCCTCAATATGTCTTATCAGTTGCATTTTGATTATTTTCTCTACTAGTTCGCAACAAAGGCTTGCGAGGCTGACTGGTTTAAAGCTATTAGGCGGGGCTATCTCTCCTCCATTATTTTGGCTATTTTCCAGTCGGTAGGCAGAGCCCTCTCCTCCATCGAACTTTCGAAGGTCTTTGACTACGGGCAAGCCTGTTGTTCTGTTAAGGTGAGAATGGTTGACGGATTAGTTCAGATGGCCATTAACACTTATGAGACGGGTCACGAATTTAACTACGAAGCCACGATCATAATCGCCCACACCACCAGAAAGACAAACGGCGGAACGGTAGAACCCTGGGCCTCTAACGCAAAGTCAATAAATCTACACGTCCACATTGAAGATTCTCCACAACCACCTCCAAACTGGCGTTACTGGCATTTGATTCAACCCCGCCCTTAAAACTGTTGTTTGGGTTTGCCGATTTATCTTTGAAAATGAACTTTTGTAAATGTTTAACATTTCAGGTGAATAAAATGTATTCGACAATCGAACAGCCTCATTCCTTCCTATATCCGAATCTTTTTGTCTGGGCTATCATTTGGAAATAAGTTTGTATTAGTTAACCTGTTTAGATAGCCTGTTAAATAACTGCCTTATTTATTGGACTGATTAATCGACTTTGGCTAATTTGCTGGTGAAGGCTAGGTAAAATTCGGTTTACCTTTCCGAAACTTTTGTCGATTAACCTAAATCTAAAGCCACGCTTTCTGCTACCCAAACCGCTAAACGCATTTCGTCTTCCACACTGCCTACACTACGTCAAAAAGGTCTCCTAAAGTTAATATTTTGAGGCTAAGTTTGGGACCGCAATACACAGTTACTTGCTTCCTAGTCCAAAATGAGTCCGTTCACATCGAAATCTTTTGAGGACAGTTGGCAAAAGACCTGCATTATGGCATTTCTTTCAATGCCAGACACATTGGTGATGACTTTGGCGCCAAACTCACGCAGAATTTGACTACGTTGAGTAAACGAATGCAAACTTTGCAACGCTAATGTTATGCACACCTTCTCTTCTGTACAATTGACAACAGAGCA